TTTTCCCAGGGGCACATTCACAAGTCTAATTCCCCAGCAGGAGCGGGCTTTTTCTTCAAAAAGAAGAGGGGTGGTGAATTGAGGCCTTGCATCGATTATAGGGGTCTCAATCTAATCACCATTAGGAATGCCTACCAAATTCCATTGATTACCGAGTTGTTCGACCGCCTCAAGGGAGCAACGGTCTTTACCAAACTCGACCTTAGGGCGGCGTACAACCTCGTACGGATCAAGCAGGGGGACGAGTGGAAGACCGCATTTAACACCAGAACCGGTCACTATGAATACCTGGTGATGCCCTTCGGGTTGTGTAATGCGCCCGCGGTCTTTCAGGAGTTCATAAATGATGTCCTTCGTGACTTATTGCAGCAGTGCGTGGTGGTCTGCTTGGATGACATCCTGGTTTACTCTGCCTCCATGGAGTCCCATATCCAGGATGTCAAGCAGGTGCTGCAACGGTTACGTGAGAACAAACTTTTTTGCAAGCTCGAGAAATGTGAATTCCACCGATCCCAAGTTGCCTTTTTGGGCTACATCATTTCTGCGGAGGGATTTTTCATGGACCCTCAGAAGGTTGCGGCGGTTCTGCAGTGGCCTCGTCCCAATGGTCTTCGGCCCATTCAGCGCTTTTTGGGTTTTGCCAACTATTATCGGAAGTTCATCAGGAACTTCTCCACGCTGGCAAAGCCTCTCTCAGACCTAACCAAGAAGAGCAGTAATCCTCTCAAGTGGCCATCCGAGGCCATCGTAGCTTTCGAGGCTCTGAAATCCGCCTTCGCTTCAGCTCCGATACTGTCTCATCCAAATCCTGAGTTGCCTTTCGTCCTCGAGGTTGATGCATCCAATACGGGAGTAGGCGCTCTCCTGTCTCAGCGTCAGTCGCCCGATGGACCCCTACTTACCTGTGAGTTCTACTCCAGGAAGCTTTCCTCTGCAGAATGCAACTACCAGATTGGAAATAGGGAATTGTTGGCCATCATTCTGGCTCTCAAGGAATGGAGGCACCTGCTCGAGGGCTCCGCGGTTCCGGTCCTCATTTTTACCGATTACAAGAACCTGACATATCTTTCGGAGGCCAAGAGATTGACGCCCCGTCAAGCCAGATAGGCCTTGTTCTTGTCGCGTTTCAACTATTTGGTTTCCTATTTGCCTGGTTCCAAGAATGTCAGGGCTGATGCATTGTCGTGGCAATACTCTGAGTTGTCCAGGGAGGACTCGGAGCCAACCTCGGTCATACCTCCGGATCAGATCCTGGCTGCCATTCGCACCAGTCTGACTTCTCCCCTTGGGGAGCAGATTTTGGCAGCTCAAACTGACGCTCCTCCCGAGAGACCGGATGGTAGATGTTTCGTACCTGAGGGATTGTGCACCCGCCTGCTGCGTACCTACCATAACTCCAAGACTGCCGGGCATCCGGGGAGGAACCAGTTGTCCTGGGTCATTTCTCGTTCATTCTGGTGGCCAACTCTCCGTGCCGACATCACCTCTTATGTAGTGGCATGTTCGGTCTGTGCCCAGAATAAATCTCCACGGCATCTCCCATTGGGTCTTCTGCAACCCATTCCCAGTGGGGAGCGTCCTTGGTCACACCTGGGCATGGATTTTATTGTAGACCTCCCTGTGTCTTGGGGTCATACGGTCATTCTCATGGTCATTTTTTCCAAAATGTGCCATTGTGTACCGCTCAAGAGATTACCAACGGCGCAAGAACTGGCCATGTTTTTTTCCAGGGAGATTTTTCGCCTGCATGGGTTGCCCAGGGTAATTGTCTCGGACCGTGGGAGTCAGTTCGTGTCCAGGTTCTGGCGCGCCTTCTGCTCCCAGTTGGGTATCAGGCTCTCCTTCTCTTCGGCCTACCACCCGTAGTCCAATGGGGCTGCGGAGCATTCCAACCAGGCCCTGGAACAATTCCTTTGCTGCTATGTCTCGGACCATCAAGACGATTGGGCCGATCTCCTGCCATGGGCGGAGTTTGCCAGGAACTCGGCTGTCAACTCCTCCTCTGGGATGTTTCCCTTCATGGCCAACTATGGGTTCCAACCTGCGGTATTACCTGAGAGGTTCTCACCACAGGACTTTCCGGCTGTGGAGAACCATCTTGCTGCCCTGCGTTCTTCATGGGGGCAGATCCAGAGGTCCTTGAGGGACTCGGCACAACGCCAGAAGTTTCTGGCTGATCGCAGACGGCTGCCCGCTCCTTCATACCATGTCGGAGATCGGGTGTGGTTGTCTACTCGCAACCTCAATCTTCGGGTGTCCGCACCCAAACTGGCCCCCCGTTTTGTTGGCCCTTTTCGCATCCTCCGCAAGGTGAATCCGGTTGCCTATGCCCTTGCCCTTCCTCCTGGGATGCGGATCTCCAATGTCTTCCATGTATCCCTGTTGAAGCCTCTGGTCTGCAATCGCCTCACTGCCTCGGCCCCGTCCCATCCGGGTTGACGGTCATGAGGAGTATGAGGTGAGCCGGATCCTAGACTCTCGATTGGTGCGTGGTCGGGTGCAGTTCCTGGTTCATTGGCACGGTTATGGTCCCGAGGAGCGTTCCTGGGTTCCTTCTGCGGATGTTCATGCTCCTGCCCTCCTCCGCGCTTTTCATGCCCGCTTTCCTCAGAAGCCTTTTGTTGAGCCGCGGAGGGGGAGGGGCCCTTGAGGAGGAGGTACTGTCAAGGTCCTACCTTTTCCCAGAGGTTATGCTGCTCCATGTGCTGGCATCCATCTTGGATTTCTGCAGAGCATTGGGGGGGGAGTCTTTTATGCCTTCAGGCCTCTGCGGTCCATCCCCCAGAGGGGTGTGGTTGATCACATATAAGCCTGTTGTCCGCAAGTTCCCTTTGCATTCATGTCTTGTATGTTTGTGTTGCAACAAGCTCTGTTTCTACTCTCGTGGCTCTCCTGGAAACTGACTCAGCTTTTGACTAGACTATTCTCTTCGTTATCCCTTTATCTGACCTCCCGTTGCTGAACCCGCTTGTGACCTGTTATTCTTGTCTACCGTTCTGTACTGTCTGTCCCGATGTTATCGACCCGGCCTGCCCGACTACGCTATTGTCTTCTGGTTCCTACCAGCTATATGCCATTGGTAGCGGCCATTACTGCAGGTGGGGTGTCTCGGGGGCTGCGACCTGGTCCCTGGCTGCGAAGTCCATCCCCACCATCAGGGGCCCTGGTGAAGGGCAGCCTGGGACTTAGACTCTGCGCCCTGAGGGACTCCGGTCTGTGGGTGGTGGTTGTCGTCAGTCGGTGCGTGACCCTGCCATTAGGCCTGCCTGTCCGTTCCACAGCACCTGCCCTGACACAGACAGACAGACTCTCTCGGTTCTGGACCACTGTCCCCTTATATTGACACAGGATCAATGAGTCAGACCCAAAAAAACCCCGCCAAGACAAAACCCTAACCCTCCTTTCCGGGGCAGCATCTCGCTAAGCTACACATAGGCATCCTGCTTACACGCAGTCCTGACTATTTTAATGAGGTTCTAATTTTAGGTTGGCTCAGACAAAGTTGTATATTTGTTGCCATTACCACGACCCACCACCAAACAACAACCCAAAATAAATTCTCCTGCTTTTGATGTACCACATGTGTGCATTTTTTTGTTTGTACCTGTAGTAGGACCCAGAAACAATGTTATGCATTTGCTTGTTTTATCTAAAACATACTGACACCAACACCAACACTGGCACTGATCTAGCTATTTTATCTTTACTTATTTATTTAATTATTTTTACTGACTTACTTGCAAACGTTGCTTGTTTGGAGGGGCTGAGGGGGTCTTCTAATTTTTCATCCAATGCAGTTTTTTATGGGAGGTTTCAGGTGTGCACACTGACAACAATGTGGCTTGTTAGGGGAGCTCTAATTATGCACATTGACACCAATGCAGTATATTTAGCGGTGGTGGGGTTTATAATGCACACTGTTATGGTGCACACTGACATTAAGGAAGCTTTACTGCAGGCTTTTATAATTGTACTACACACTGACACCAGCAAAGTTTATGGGGGGGGGGGTTATTGACCACCAACATAAGGGGGTCTAAGAGGGTTGTAAACACAAAATTGTAATGATAGAAAAGAATGTTGTAGAATGCCCTGGTTCCCACCAGTGCGAGTTCCTTGCGATATACAATTTACAAATCGCACCTGAAGTTACATCTAAAGTATCTCTATGGCACTGTCTTAATCAGTGCGATTTGAAGTAGTGCAATTTCAAAAATAGTTCCTGCACTACTTTTTTCCGATTTCATTGAGACTTGCATTGACTTCTGTTAAATTAAGTTGCAAGCCACTTCGGAGGTACAAAGCGCACTGATCTGCAGCTGTGAAATTGTGCTACTTCAAGAGAAATAGCGCAATTTCAAAGTCGCATTCAGTGTGAACCAGGACTTAAGGGTCTGTGCCACATGACTGTGGTAGCTGGGTTCATTAGCATTGTATTTTTTCACTGAGTTTGGGGGCCATATAAAAACTGCCCCTGCTCCTTGAATGGGGCCATATACTGAGTGTATAGAAATCTGGTTAAAACTAGCTCAGCTCTTACAAACTAAAGAAAAGAACTTGCCCTAAACAGGAGCTAAGATTAAAATATCTACCAGATGTTATCACAAAAATAAATTTCTCTTCACAGACGCAGTTGTTTTTTTTTTACAGTTTAGTAGGATCATGTTTAAAGAAAAATAATTCCTTCTATTTCTCTTTAAAAGGGCAGTCCCCCCTCTTTGTTTGCTATTCATAAAAGGGGTGGGTGCCTGTGACATCAGGTAGATGGATTGGAGGCAGCTTAGCTAGTGATTAGTCAGGCTACCTGTAATATACACTGCTCAAAAAAATTAAATGAACACTATTTAACTTGTTGCCGACGGCAGATAGCCGAATGACGGCTGCACTGCGGCCGGCCAGTTCTGAGTGGACGTCATATGACGTCCTCCCAGAACGCGCTCTCCTGCGCGCCCCAGGGGGCGCGCACCCGGCGATCTCCGTGATCACTGTGTCCTACGGACACAGCTGATCACGGGATGTGGTAAAAGGCCAATCACAGCGGCCTTTTACCACCTGATCAGCAGTGTCCAATGACACGCTGATCAGAGGGAAATGCAAGTGCCGGTTCTCGGCTGCACTTTCCTCACGCTGTCAGATCGTGAGGAAAGTACTGCCGAGAACTGGCAGTTGTCAGAGCGAGGATCGGCACCGATCATCAGGGCACTGATGATCAGTGCCCAGCAGTGGCACCCGCAAGTTCCGCCCACCTGTGCCCAGCAGTGCGCCCACTAGCTCCGCCCACCTGTGCCCAGCAGATCACCCACCTCTGTCCAGCAGTGCACCCACCTGTGCCCAGCAGTGCACCCACCTGTGCCACTCTGCAGTGTCACACACCTGTGCCCAGAAGTGCCACCTACCTGTGCCCAGCAGTGCCACCCACCTGTGCCTACCAATGCCACCCACCTGTGCCCACCAGTGCCACCCACCTGTGCCCACCCACCAGTGCTGTCCACCAGTGCCACCCACCAGTGCAGCCCAGCAGTGCTGCCAGTCAGTGCCACCAGTCAGTGTCCAGCGGTTGTGCCAGTCAGTGCCGCCAGTGAGTGCCCAGCAGTGATGCCAGTCAGTGCCATCTATCAGTACCCATCATCAGTGTCACCTATCAGTGCCGCCTATCAGTGCTGCATATTAGTGCCGCCTATCCGTGACACCTCATTAGTGCTGTCTATCAGTGCCGCCTATCCGTGCCACCTCATTAGTACTGCCTATCAGTGCCCTTTAGTGCTGCCTATCAGTGCTCATCAGTGACCATCAGTGCCGCCTATCAGTGCCCATCAGTGCTGCCTCATCAACGCACATCAGTGAAGGAGAAAAATTACCTGTTTGAAAAGTTTTATAATAGAAACAAAGAAACTTTTTTTTTTTCAAATTTTTTGCACTTTTTTTATTTATAGCGCAAAAAGTAAAGTGCCCAGTGGTGATTAAATACCACCAAAAGAAAGCTCTATTTGTGAGAAAAAAATGATCAAAATTTCATATGGGTACAATGTTGCATGACCGCGCAATTGTCAATCAAACTGCGGCAGCGCTGAAAGCTGAAAATTGGCCTGGTAAATAAGGGGGTATAAGTGCCTGGTAGGCAAGTGGTTAATCGGAGTATAGCATCAAGTTAATTAAACTCCTGGGATATTGATCTGGTCATTTAAGTAGCAGAGGGGGTTGTTAATCAGTTTCAGCTGCTTTGGTGTTAATGAAATTAACAGGTGCACTAGATGGGCAACATGAGACAGGAATGGTTGTACAAGTGGAGGCCACTAACATGTTTTTCCCTACTCATGTTTTCTGACTGGTTTTCACTAGTTTTGCATTTGGCTAGGGTCAGTGTCACTACTGGTTGCATGAAGCGATACCTGGACCCTAAAGGGGTTGCACAAGCAGTCCAACTCCTCCAGAATGTCATATCAATATTTGCCATTGCCAGAAGGTTTGCTGTGTCTCCCAGCACACTGTCAAGAGCATGGAGGAGATTCCAGGAGACAGGCAGTTACTCTAGAAGAGCTGGACAGGGCCGTAGAAGGTGCTTAACCCATCAGCAGAAACGGTATCTGCTCCTTTGTGCAAGGAGGAACAAGATGAGCACTGCTAGAGCCCTACAAAATGACCTCCAGCAGGCCACTGGTGTGCATGTCTCTGACCAAGCAATCAGAAACAGATTTCATGAGGGTGGAATGAGGGCCTGACGTCCTCTAGTGGGCCCTGTACTCACTGCCCAGCACCACCGAGCTTGATAGGCATTTGCCATTGAACACCAGAATTGGCAGGTCCACCACTGGCTCCCTGTGCTTTTCACAGAGGAGAGCAGGTTCACCCTGAGCACATGTGACAGACGTAAAAAGGGCTGGAGAAGCCATGGAGAATGTTATGCTGACTGTAACATCGTTCAGTATGACTGTTTTGGTGGTGAGTCAGTGATGGTCTGGGGAGGCATATCCATGGAGGGACGCACAGACAATGGCACCCTGACTGCCATTAGGTATCGAGATGAAATCCTTGGACCCATTGTCAGACCCTACACTGGTGCAGTGGGTCCTCAGTTCCTCCTGGTGCACGACAATGCCCAACCTCATGTGGCGAGAGTATGCAGGCAGTTCCTGGAGGATGAAGGAATTGATACTATTGAATGGCCCCCACGCTCACCTGACCTAAATCCAATAGAACACCTCTGGGATATCATGTTTCAGTCCATCCAACGTCGCAAGGTTGCACCTCAGACTATCCAGGAGCTCAGTGATGCCTTGGTCCAGATCTGGGAGGAAATACCCCAGGACACCACCCATTGTCTCATTAGCAGCATTCCCTGACATTGTCAGGCATGCCTACAAGCATGTGGGGGCCATAAAAATTGCTGAGTACCATTTTGAGTTGCTGCAATGAAATTTCAGCAAAATAGATTAGCCTGCTGCATAATTTTTTCACTTTGATTTTCAGGGTGTCTTTGAATTCAGTCCTTTGTAGGTTGATCATTTAAATTTCCATCAAACTATGGGGCATTCTTATGTTCCTAACACATTACCCAGTTCATATCAGTATAGATATCCAGCATGACATTTTTACCCATTGAGATCTGATGTGTCTTCAAAGTGTTTCTTTAATTTTTTTGAGTAGTGTATATACCTGAAATCACAAACAGCCATTCTATGTTGAGGTTGGGTAGGCCAAGCAGTGCTTTTGGAGTTGCTAGGTCCTTCAATTGAGTTTTTTTTTAATAACTGTCCAGCCCTGTTAAACTAATAGCAGACTTTTCCTTTAAATTAGGAAAAGAACAAAAAGCTAGCACTGAAAAAGAAAAATAAATAAATAAATTTGGTGCTGACTACTGACCATAACAGCTGCCTTGCAATTCTGTCACAAGGAAGAGACGCATTAAAAAGGAAAACAGTGTTGAATTTGACCGGTAGTGTTCAATGTGCTGTAAATGGATCTAAGGATTTCATATTATAATCTGCAGCTACAGTGAAGAAGGGAGCCAGGGAAAGAATAGGGTAAAAAACAGAAAGAATATGAAATCTGTAAATAGATGTAATGTATAAAGAGGACCAACTAATGTGTGTCTGTTCCGCCAGATGCCCCAGGCAGAATCTCTTGAAGTTGGATTTTGATTCAGCTGTCAGGATCTCTGAGTGGACTTGTGGTCATCATAATGATTGGCTGCGGACTCAGTGTTTTACAAGATGATGAGAAAAGAGAAAGGTCATATTTATTCAAATGAATTTACCATCCATTAAGGTGAAATGGACATCCTCGTTAATCCAATTCACATCTTTTGTGTCATTTTTCTAACATACCATGGAGCTGGAAAAATGCAGTGATTTGTAAAATGCACGGGAACTCTAAGCAGTTTGCGTGATAGTTAATACAGGGTCATATATTAATTTGAACTTCTTGAATGTTTCCAAAGCAAAGAGTGGTTATCCTTGCTCTTTTTACTTATTTTATTGAAAACTACATTTAAACTGCATGTTAGCATTTAGGAGAAAGGAAACAGCTCATAAGCCTTAATTCAAGGATTCACTTATTTGCCTGACCTGCAATGGAAGACTGAGGATGGGAAATGATGACGTGTATGCTGAACATCACCAAAATTACATTTAGTGTCAAGCTCTCTGTCATGCAGGTCAGCCTTTCTTGAGGTGAACTCAAGATAAAAATTGAATCCATTTCATCCAGTTTCATATTCATTAAAACATTTTTTAACTTGAAAGATTTATAATATAAATACCTGAATATGATTTTGCATTAGTATTATGTAATCCTCTGTTTAAGGCCTCATGAGGCATGATATGATAGGGAACAATCCACAGCCCAGCCTGCAAACATAATGACTGCTCCAACCTCAACATTTGGGAATAACCTAAAACAATTATAAAGATGTCTTCCATGCTAGCTTACCACTCCTTCAGGACCCTGTCACAGATCTAAAGTGAATTCTCAATCTTCCAATACACCTTCTTCTGCCTTCAGGTGTGTTCTTTCCTCTCCAGATAAAGGAAAGGCTGAGCAATTCACAGGCCCTGCTGGTAACAAGCACAAATTTTGCCTTGTGAACTTTTTGCCACTATGCAGTAAATGATTGGAAAATGGTAATATACATTAGTCTCTGATTTTGCCTGCCAACTTGCAAGCAAGTGTGGTCTGCACACCAGGTGGCTCTCCAAAGGACATAGCAGTCACAGAGTGCCCCCGATGTGTGCCCCAGAGTGAGCACAGCAGTTGCACACATGGGAAGGCATCCATGGACATCCTCCCAGAACTTGAGAACTGCTCTGTACCAGTTTTCTGGCTATTGCGTGGTTGGGAACTGGTTAATGGAGTTTTGCATTATTAAAGCTTAATTTTAAGCATTGCTTAAGTCCCTGCTCCCAGCCAAAGTTTGAAAAAAAAAAAGGTTTTTGTTTTCGTCCATGTTACCTATGGCAGTGCCCATTCCCTCCATGCCATTTGTTGAACAATCGCTTGCCTATTAGCCTAAAAAATGTCCAGAACTGTTTTTTTAACATTCAACTTCACTTGATATCAATTGGGTTCAAACTCCACACCCAAACTTTCATCATGGTTGCCGAACCCTTCTTAAATCAAACCCAGGTGTGTTTGGCAAATTACTACTCCTGCTGTAGAGGTTTGCCTTTGCTTTCTCTCTGTGAGACAGAGCAGGAAGTATATGTAACGTCCTCCAGTGTAGACTGATTTTTTGTACAGTTAGAGCAGTCTTTGTCAACCTTTGCAACACAGAGGAACCCTTGAAATAGCTTTCAATTCTCAGAGAACTCCTGCTAAAAATTACTATATCTACAACTCATGATACAATAGTGATGATCAGTGGGAAGAATGCTCCTTCCGCTTGTGGTCATTGGGAAGAATACCCCCTCACCCCGCTTACAGCTAGCTAAAAGGATCAATGGTGTTAGTGGGAACTTAACTGAAAGGCAGAGATTTCTCATTGCTCAAGGAACCCCTAGAAACCTCTGGAGAAGCCCTGAGTTAGAGGCTTGCTAGAAGCCTGGGTGTGAGTTAGCAGGTTTCTCCAAGTTACGGCTGGAGGGCTCTGCACGTCAGTTCTCTGGTACCTATCCCTGTTCTAAAGACTTGGAGAAGTTTTTGGAAGCCAGTGGATGGGGGTGAGGAGGAGCTGATCTGCATACTTAAGGAAGTCTGGCCAATCCCTAGGCAGGAAGTCTGGTATGGTGTTTCTACAGGTTAGCAGTGTAACATTACAGAGGAGGTCTAGTGCTAGAATTATTGTTCTTGCTCCTACGTTCGTGGCTATACCTCACGTTTGTCGTCTGAATTCCGTTTACATATATGGACATGGCCTTTG